ATAAAAGTGTTGACCTCGTCTCTTCCTTTCCCGTCTCGACAATCCACACAGAACATCAAACAAATTAGAGCCCAAAACCTAAGAACCTTCTTTCCACTTCATCTCATCGCTGCTTCTACATCATGAAGACCTTCAATCTGCTCACCATTCTCTTGGCCGGTGTCTCCGCAGTCTCCGCGGCAGCCCTGCCGAGCGCCATAGACGCCCGCGAAGTCGCCGACGGTTTCTATCAGGTGTCCACTGATGATTCCGGCAACACAAAGACCACTTTCAAGCCCTGGGACGAGGTTGTCACGACCTCGGTCAGAGAGCGGTCGCCTCTTGAGAAGCGCAGAGAGGACTGCGGTCCCGGGTCTGTCAGCACCGGCGAAGCGGACGATGCGAACACCTGCCTGATCAACGGCTTCAACGGGGATAATGTATACTTGGAGAAGAACGCCTGGTCATATGTACGTTTCCCATTACTACTGTCCCCAATGGTTTCTCCTTGAGACCTCTCTCGGGGGTATCATGGTATGAAATGGCAACAGACTAACTCAGATACAGTGTGTTCGCGGCAACGTCGTCTCCTTCATATGCCCTTACAGCCAAGGATACAAGGGCAAGGCGGACATCAAGGGGACTTGGTCTTATGTCAAAGGACACTGCGGGCCTAGCAAGATGGGTTACGCGCAGGTCTCCAACGGCATCGGCGACTGGACGGCTGGGTATGCTACCAAAGATGATCATTTCTGCACTGCGGACTTCAAAGTTGGATCGTAAACATGTCTTCCCCCTTTTCCTGGTTATATATAGATAGATATGTTTCCTCTTCATCTGGTTGAAGATGTCACTAGCAGGATAAATCATTAGCCACATTGTATGTAGTCTTTTGAATACTCGTCACAATCCACCATGGTATGTATTTTTGAACGCGTCGTTCTATAGATGCCCGTTTCCAAGTATATTTTGCTCCGGTCCCTGTCCCAAAACGCCGAATCAACGGCGTCTTCACTCATCTTCATCTTCATAATCAGCATCGGCATCATCATCATTGCCATCCTCAACGTCCGTTTCCTCGTCCTTAGCTCGCTGTTGCAACTGCTTTGCCCACTTCTTCCCGCCCAAGTTCTCTTTTCTGGCCATCCGGACTACTTTGGCTTGAACTGACTTATCGCTCCTACCCAATCTGGCTCCTATCTCCTCATAATTCTTTCCAGCAGCAAGCATCTCTTTGACAGTAGCGACTTCGCCTCTGCCCCACATCTTCTGCGGCCTACTCCCCGGCAGGAAACTCATAGGACCGAGCACCTGGTCGGGTGCTGCAGCGCCCTGGGGGTTGTTGTTGATGAACTGCCGAATCGCATTCAGACGGTTGTCCTGGATCAAAACTTGTTCCGCGGTCCAGAGGCAGCCGTTGGTGCCGCTGCCGCAGTGGTAGCCCGCCCAAAGCGAGGGGGCGAGGACAGGCACGCGGGCGTCGGCGCGGTGCGCGATGAAGCGCTGCAGGCCGCCCATCATGGCGTTGGAGAGGTTGTGCGTGGTGACGGAGATGATGTTGTCGCAGCCGGGGCAGCGGGCGATGGGGCCGTACTCGGGGTCGTTGCCGGTCGTGAAGCGCGTGGTCGGGTTGTAGGCACAGCCGGGCGTCGCGCAGGTGTGGCCGATGGCGAGGGCTTGGGCGTGGGGGAGGGGGAGGGACTCACGGAAAATGAGGCCCGCGTGGTTGGCTTCGTAGTTGGCGGACTTGATGTCTTGGTTCAGGGAGAACTGGCATGCTTCGCCGGCGTCAGCGGATTGGTTTGAGATTGGCTGGCGGCAGGAGGCGCAAAAGTACTTGATGTTGAGACACATGGTGAGTTGTGAGGTCTATGCTGTCTTTTTAATGATGGGCTTCTGGTAAAATTGGGTTGTTGGTCATATTCTTGCAACCACGGACTCGTCGATATCTATATGTATACATGAGCATCGCAGCGGCTTGCATTAACAATAGAGAGAATTCTCTTGAAACTCAATGAAAATGAACTACGAACATTCTCAGCTGTTGACTTGATCAAAGCCGTTGCGTTCTTGCTTTATGTTGATTCATTCATTCAGGGGGGCTCAACGGACTCGACAAAGACTCGATTATGGGTATGCCGCAAAATATCAGAAAGTGTTCGGGTGATTTTCTCCAAGCTGTGCCCGGTTTGTATACCTATGAAAGCAATTTGTACAAAGATGATCATAGATCAAAGCGCTTCTCGCTTACAACGCCATTGTTCTCATCCGAGCTGGTCTGAGTCTTACGATTGGCCCTCCAGTATGTGTACATCAACGCCAAAGTGTTGGGGATGGAAGCTCCGTACAGCAAAAGAATCGCGAGAAAGGCCTTGGGGTACCTTGGAGCGTCAGACTCTTGGAAGAGCTGCTGTCCAGCGAGGCCACCGAGATTGCTTCCCATCACCGCCATCGCCAGTCCAACGCTGCGATTACTGGGCTTGGTCGAGTTGATGTTCAACCAAGCATCGTTAATCGCCTGCGAAAGTGCGTTGCCCCCGGTGAGCAGCGTGAAGAGCGCATATTGTACCCATCTGTTCGCCCCAACATGCAACCCGCACAGCGCACCGGAGAAGGCGATGGACCAGACAAAAGCCACGATGCACCAGGGCCCGCGCAGCCGTGTCTTGTCTGACGCGACGGACAGCGTGTATGACAGGATGATGACGAGCACGTTGCCCACGGCGTTGAGCAGGTTGGCGTTGGTCTTGGAGAAGCCCAGGCTCTTGATGATTGTGGGCCCGTAGATGGCGAGGCCGCCCTTGGGGGTGAGACTGAGAATGTTAAGGAACATGTGCAGCCAGAGGTGCAGGTCGACGAAGGCTTCGCGGAGGCTTTTTAGGGTGATTTCGACCTTGTCTGCGCCCTTGGAGTCGTCGCCGAGGAGAATGCGGGTGCTGAGGATGGTGCGCTCGCGGTCGGTGAAGAGGTCGAAGCGGCCATGGATCGGGCGCGTGTGCTTTGGGCTGCGGGGGAGGAGGAGGATGTAGGCGAAGAAGATGAGGAGGGTGAACGTGCCCTCGACTGGCGTCGTTGTCAGATCTGGATGTGAGAACGAGGATGGCTTCAAGAGGTTCGACTTACTGACAAAGAGCCACTGCCATCCGGCGAGCCCTCCCTTGCCGCCCATTTGGAGGATTCCTGCGGCGATCAAGGAACCAGTCGCTGCGGCTGAGTAGTTACCAAAGTAGAATATTGATGTTCTCAGCGCCAGCTCGTCTCTCTTGTAGAACAACGCCAGCATGTACTGAACTCCGGGGATGAATCCTCCTTCAAACAGCCCCAAGAGCATTCTAGTTGCGTAGAATGAGTGGACGTTGGTGCACCAAGCTTGCATTAGAGCGATCGTGCCCCAGATGGCGACCTGCAGTGTGAGCCAGACCGGGGCGCCGACTCTCTGCAGAATCAGGTTGGAGGGGATTTCAGCAATTACAATACCGGCCAGCATAAGCTGGTTGCCAATGTTGACCTGGTTATTGGTGATGCCGAGATCTTGCGTCAGGGTGTCGGTGAGGGCGTTGCTGATGTTGGTTCGGTCGAGCTGAAGGACGTAGAAGCCGACGACGAGGAGGGGCATGAGATACCAGTCGAGTCTTTGATTGAGCTGCTGTCAGTGGTATTGCGTCGTTGGAAAGACGTGAGCAAGACTGACTTTCTGACGACGGCCTTTTCTTCATCTTGAGTCCACGACTCGCCTTCGGATGGGCTGTGGTTGGACGGGTCGTAGACGACGATGTCAGTCTTCTTCTCTTCCTCCATGGTAACGAAAGACCATTCAATGAAAGCCAGAATACCAAGATGAAATGCTTGGGAGAATCTCAAATCAATGACCGGCGCTGGGTGGTGCCGAAGATATACCCAGGCCAGCTCTTGGCTGCACGCGATCAACCGAAACCATGTCCCTCGCCGATGTTCCACGGCCCAGGCATGGGCATGGTACAATTCGAATCAACGATTGCGCAATTGGCTTCCATGAAAATAATCATGGAGTTGAGCGACGGAGATATGATTGTATTGATCCACATTGGTGAGAGGAGGAGAAGTCGTCGGAATTGAGCGTCGGAGGTCAGCGAAGCTGATCGGTTGTGGTACCGACTACTGCGAGTTGAACGCCAAACCGTAAAATCACCGGCTGATTTTGGATGATGTTAGAAGAATTCAAAGAAGGAATGATGAAGCATGTAATCCAACAAGGAAGAGATCATTGTGGTTTCACAATTCCGGCGTCGTTAAAGTTCAAGAACAATACGCCAAGGCCGGACTTACACGACCGAAATTCAATCCACCGATCTACCTTTTTACCAAAGGTACATTAAATATGAATGTATAAAATAATGAAAGTGCTAATAAGCACAAAAAGAACGTCAAGTAGTTCCATTGAGACTGAGAAAAAAGACCCTTATCACTAGGTAGAGACTAGCCAGCAAGACCAATCGCCCGACCTGCAGGGGCCTAGCGGAGCTGCCGATCTCGGCCCCGGTCCAGGGTCTACCAGACTCTCGGGTCAGAGACTGGGTGAACAAAGATGTGGGATTTTCTATCCAACGCACATCAATTGGGGAATTTGATTGGAAAAAGAGGGCGTTTGCGCGAACGATTGAATATCTTAGCGTCTTGAAGTGACGTTGAAGTTGAGTTGCCGACGGAGCGGAGCTATGTCGCCGCCAGTTCGCCGATGACTTCATCAGTGGGGTTAGGATCGCGTGGGGGAGCTCTCAGCCCGCCGTCTGAGCTGCCATCTCAACCACCTTCCAATTTTAGAACCTAGACTCAGTCACGTCCATCGAAGGCTGTTCTAGAACTTCTGTCAACATACCTAAATAGGTCCCGCAAATTGGGTACATTATCAGACCAACAACCACCCCATCAGTCTCACCCATTCAACCTCCGAGGACACCCCACAGTCATCCATCCCTGGTTACACAAGCTACCTAGTGACACAACATCAAAGGTCACATCATCAACTGCCCCTTACCGCCAAGATGCCGCCTCCGCCAGATCTATCCCATCACATCCTCCCCGAGCTCGTCTCCAAACAGATCTTCCAAACACAGATCCTCCCCGCCGACCTGCCCGCCACACTAACCCGGCACCCCACCCGAGCCCGGCCCTTGGCGGTGCTCATCGTCGGCCAAACCGGCGCCGGCAAAACTCGCACCGCACCGGCCGTCCTCTCCGCCATGAACCGCATCAACCCCCCGGCGCACTTCATCGCAGACGTCTACAAGGCCCACCACCCGTCCTACCTGACCCTCATCTCCTCTCCGAACCCCGCGCACGCATCGCCGGCCACCGGCCCAGACGCGCGCAAATGGCTCGCTATGGCCGCTGCGGAGGCCATCTCTCGCAAGCTTGACGTGCTCCTGGAGAGCGCGTGTCGGCACCCAGACGACTTTCGCGACCTGGCGAGGATGTTTGGGGAGGCAGGGTATCGCGTCGAGGTCGTGGTGATGGCTGTTCCCGCGGCGCTGAGTCGGTTGGGGATCCTGCACCGGTTCTATGAGAGATTGCCGGACGCCGGGAGCGGCAATCTGCCCATTAGGCTGACGCCGGTCAAAATTCATGATGACTCATACGCCGGGCTGATGAGCGTTGCGGAATGGATTGATGAGGTTGACTACGTTGACCGGGTGCTGGTTGTGAGGCGAGGAAACATGGTTGCTTTCTCTGATGACAAGACTGAGACAGGTAAGCTTAGTGGCAAGGTTGCGGAAGCATTGAGAAGGGAAAGGGAAAGACATCCCACTGCGGAGGAGAAAAAGATTGCTGTAGCGGACCTTGAGAAGTTAGAAGCCCGAGATGGCAAGTCGGCAGTGGAAGTCAAAGGTCTGTTTGAGCCGTTACTCAGAGCAGAAGAGCAGGGATATCCAGAGCTGCTACCGTTAGAGTTTCCGCCCAGCACAAGAAAGGATGCGCTGCTCACGCTGGGCGAGGTATGAGGAAACATCCGAGCAATTTTTCGCAACCCTTTGAGTCGGCTATGCGAAGCTGAGGCAGTGAGTGCTCCGGCTCTCAAGACATGGACCGAACGACAGGCCTAGAGGAGAAGAGCGGTTTTCCTAATTTTGCTACCAAAGTATGAATCTCTCATTTTCACTACATACACAACCATACTGCCAGTCAAATGGTACTTCAAACAGCTGAAAGCACTATTCCTTCGAACAAAAGTGGTGCCATGTCATGTATGCTCATCCTCGTTGAGTAGTCTATTCCAGCAGGGAACTGGTGTCGATCTTGCCCCCGACGACAGTGACACTACAAGTAACAATCAAAATTCTGAATTTAATGCACATGGTTTGCCAATGAGACGTGCAGCAACCGCAGCACAATAGATAGGAAGCTGCTATGTTGAACCTGCCCGGCCCCCATCGGCTTGTGTCGGCAGATATCCACCAGCTCCGGAAGGCACCACCCACCGTCGCCGGCTGCCCACCCGGAAGGTAGTGGCTTCCGTGGAAGGTACCTGGCTGCCCTGGTATGCCGGCAGGTTCGACGCTGGTCCAAGCTCCACGCAGCAGGCAGGCCCTGACGTGGAGGGGCACGAATTGGAAGTGGAGCTGGGTGAGGTCACACCAACCTTCCAGAAGCCCCCGCGTAAATCGGTCCACGTGACGCAAAAGGGTTGTCTGCCCTACAGAGCTCGACCACTAAAACTTCCCCGACAGGCCTGGTCCTCCAGACGAACATCATCACCAACACCTCTCATCTCAAAGGACAAGTAAGTATAGCGCCCCCCACCCCACGGTCATCGGCACGACGGCGGCGCAGAGCTCGCGAAGCAGCCTGCGCTCCTGTTAGCCTCCCGATTGGCCCGGTCGGATTTCGCTGGCGACATCGACTAACCGGTCACCAGCTTCGTGGTCACGATGAGAGCCAAGTGGAGAAAGAAGCGCGTTCGCCGTCTCAAGCGCAAGAGAAGAAAGATGAGGGCTCGCTCGTAAGTTGCACAACACATCGCTGGCTCGAAACTGCCTGGCTAACAACCCTCGTAGCAAATAAACAACTCGCACCCTCCCCTCGACCATGACCATCTTCTGAGATGACGACACAAAAACCATCACGCGATACGCATTACGGAATTGCACTTGCCAGCTTCTGTCACCAGCGACTCAGTCTGTCTCGTTCGCCGGGACGTCTACATTCACACTACGAATTGGAACTATGGGACTTGGGGTCATGACGTTGACCAGGCACGCACCTCCGGCGGCCTTGATGAGGATTTGATGAAGAATGGACCTGCCAACTGCGGTCGGGATGACTTTACGATGAGGATGCAGTGTTTAGGACAGCTGAAACTACGATGTCACAATGACTTCGAACACAATCAAATCATCAGTGAAACCACAACATGCTTCTTGCCTGCCATGTGTCTTGCTTGCCTCTGTGATCGTGGTCAAGCTCCTAGTGGGCTCTTCAACCTTGATTTCTGTGATGAAAGTTCTTTTCCGTTCTCAGTTGTCGCCAGCCTAAAGACCTTGAGGTGCAGCTTTGCAATTGCGACCTGTCACGGCAGACTCTACCACGCGCTCGTCTCATTGAGCGCCGCGTCTGGTACACTACAACATCATCAAATCCATGCAAATGCAATTGATGAAGATGATGCCCAAGAGCAATATTCGGCTTCAATTTCTTCTCGCGTGAGCTGCATTTTTCGTCAATTGAGTGCGCAGAGCTGTGACGTTTGAGCTCCAAGTGGGGTACCTAGGCGCATGCGCCGCAAAGGTAGCGTCCAGCTTGTTCCACACCGCCTGCCTATCACGGTACCAGTCGCACGGATAAACGCCGGTTTGCCGACAGGGGACTTTTTTTTTTCCCTTCCTGGGAGAGGCGTACAGAAAATTTCCAGCAGACTCGCAAGCCCACCACAAGACGTCCAACTACCACCAGTCCTTACCCGCCAGCACCCAGAGACAGCAGGGACGATGGCGGACGCCAACGGAAGAAAGAGAAAGAGAGACGGCGACGCCGCCGCCAAGTCGAAGAAGAAGCAGGCTACCGAAATGCCGTCAAAAGTCACGATCTCTTCGGTTTCACAGGCCAAGTTCTGCCCACCTGTCGTTGGTACGATCGTCTTCCTGCGATTATCACCATTCGCTGACAGTTTGCAGCCTCCTCCCCTGGCATTAGGATATCAAAGAACACCTCTTTTACCCCATACGTCAAGTCAGACATTCAATTGTCAGGCAGGCGCAAACAGAAGACCCCCGCAGTGGCGCAGGACCTCCTTCTGCACTCGAATACTCACCAGACGATGGACTACACGGCTAGAGAAGACGGCAACGGCGACTCCGAAAAGTCGTTGAAGCACTACATTGGAGTGTTTGACCCGAAGACGGGCAAGCTAGAAGTGGTGGAGGCCAAGAAGATGGTGGTTCGGGGCACAGCCAGAGCCAAGCAAGCCTCGGATGAGGCGATGACTGCACCGGCAGACTACCAGGTTCGTCTCTGTCGTCTGCGTATGCTGTGTATACTGTGTATACTGACTACAAACAGAGCTTCTACGCGCTCAAGACCGATCTTGGTCAGACCTTCGGTACGAGGAAGGCCAAGAAGGCCATCGAGTCTGTCACACTCAACGCTATCGATCCCAACAAGGGCAAGGCTGGCGCTTCCCCCCGCAAGTCTACCGCCGCGGACAAGGCAACGCTCAAGCAGATCGGCGAGATTACCGCGACTATGGCGTCCAAGGAAGAACTCCAAGACATTGTCGACCAGGCCAAGCCCGTCCCCCGTCCCAATCTCGAGGCCGATGCCATCCAGGACGTGTACGATCCCGACGAGTTCATCGGGCGCGAGGTCCTCGCCGCTGTCCCCGTCAAGGACTGGATCGAGCCGACCAAGAAGGGCGAGGACGTGCAGGTCTACTCCAGGCACGTGGCCGCGCGCGTCAAGAAGATTGTCGACACTGGAAACGTTACCAAGATCCGCCTTCTGCGCTACTTCTACTTTTTGTTCCTGTTCTATACGATGGCACAACCAGGAAAGCAACGCGGCACCAAGCGTGTGCCTCCCCGCGAAAAGCTCAAGGAGAAGCTCGCGCCAGCTCCTCAGGCTGTCATCGAGCAGATCCGTCGCAAGTTCTCAGATGGCGGCGAGATCCGCAAGTTCCACAGCGATTTGCTTATTGCACACTGCTGCGCTCTGGCTTGTATCATCGATAACTTCGAGGTCGATACCTCCAAGCTGCGGGAGGATATGCGTCTCGACCAGAAGGATATGAATACCTACTTCTACGAGATTGGTGCTCGCGTAAAGCCTGTCGCTGGCAAGGAGAAGGGCAAGCAACACCATCTGGCGAAATTGGCCCTGCCACTACAATTCCCCAAGCTTAGATCTCTCGCACCCAAGCGCCGCTAGGAGGGCGTCGCGGGCGACGAAAAAGAGGTTCAGAGGGCACGCAGAGAAATAATCCCTTTGCGCCGGGCCTAAGCAGCTTTGAGACGACGGCGACGATGGCAGCGACGACGGCAGCGACGACGGCAGCGGGGATGGACGACAGTAGCCAGGAGAGGCAGAACCGACGGAGACAGACGACGGAAACGGACGACGGGTGCAAAGAATAGGGATGAAAAGTGACGGGGCCGGCGGCTGTGGCACCGGCACCGGCACCGCCGCCAACAGTAGCCAGTAGGGATGGGAACGAGAAGCGACGGGAACGAGAAGCGACGGGGACGAGAAGCGACGGGGCCGAGAGACGACGGGGACGGACAATGGCACCGGTGGCGGAAGACAGCGAAGACCAGAAGATCTGCCGGACTACTTACAATATGCATACTCTGCATTGCTACCATGGCTTACCCATAGAAAGTGCGCAACCCAAGTGCACACGCCAATTGATGACCAAAAGTTTCGTTTATGAATCAGTCGTATATGAATCAGACGGCCCGGTGCAGCAATCATGTCGTTGGCCTGTGAAAAATGAATCAATAGTACCGAGCAGCAGCAATTGACCTGAGCATTGGAGAAACGTTTCCCGATGTGCGCTGCCAGTACTGACGCTAACACCCCGCAGTGGCACCCCCGTCCTGCCGAGGCATCTCGGTGCAGTCGTGGTCCAGTGTGTGTGTGGGGTCCGGGGTAACTCTCCCCTGGCACAGCTCCTGTGTCTCTCATAAAACCAACCAACCACCTGCGGGTGAGCTGTTGTTTCTATGTTTGTAGCCTGTCTATTTCATGCGGTGAGCTTTCGGGTATTTCTGTAGCTTCCATTTGTTTCATTTCAACATTTCTATCAAAAGTGAATTGAAGAAGAACCGAAATCAAAGACAACAAATTGTAGAAGAAAGACCAATTAGACACCAGCAGATCAGAACACACAATGGCTAGCCCCGAGGATCCCGTCGTCTCGCTCGAGTACCGCGGCCGCGTCGCGCTGCTCACAATCGACAATGATCGCAAGCTCAATGCCATGTCGCAGCCGCAGTACTACGACCTGGCCCAGAAGCTGCGCGAGATCGCCACACACGACGAGGTCTTCATCACTGTCCTTACGGCCAAGGGACGCTACTTTTCAGCGTGAGTTTTGTTCTTCATTTTCAGTTCAATTTAGTTCATCCAATCCCAACCACTCGGGTCACATCAAAAAGCCCCAAATAAGCAAGAAATGTAAACTAACATCAAAAAGCGGCGCCGACGTCTCCATCGCCCGCGAATCCCCCTCCGGCGCCGCCGCCCACAAGCACTGGCTCCAGGGCTTCGTCGCCTTCAACCTGAACATCACCCAGGCCTTCTACACGCACCCCAAGATCCTCGTCGTGGGCCTCAACGGGCCCGTCATCGGGCTCTCCGCCGCGCTCGTCTCCTTCGCCGACTTCATCTACGCCACGCCGTCCACCTTTCTGCTGACGCCCTTCTCGTCGCTCGGCCTCGTCGCCGAGGGCGGCGCCTCGCGCGCGCTCGTCACGCGGCTCGGCCTGCCCAAGGCCAACGAGGCGCTCATCATGAGCAAGCGCATCTCCGCCGAAGAGCTGCTGCACACGGGCTACGTCAACAAGGTCTTCGACTGCGGCAAGGGCGAGGACGCGAAGTTCCGTGACCTGGTGCTGCAGGAGGTGGATGAGAGGCTGGGCGCGCACCTGATCGGGGACAGCCTGACGGGGATCAAGGCGCTCATCAGGCGGCCCGAGATGGAGATTATGGACCGGCAGAACTCGCAGGAGGTGTTTGCGGGTATTGAGAGATTTATGAAGGGGATCCCGCAGGAGGAGTTTAGGAAGATTGCCAGCGGTGAAAAGAGGCACAAGTTGTAGATTAGATTCTGCCTGCTGTAGATATTTTACGTCACGACAAAGGGAAAGCTGTATTCTAGATCATAACTTTTTCTTCTTCTTCATTCTCTCACTCTAGTGCGTGTATCTCATCGTACATGTGACCGGGTATCTTTACATCATGCGAGCAAGCCGAACAGCAGGTTCGTCTTCTTGTAGTAGTCTTGTGAAGACTTGTTGATGCGCTGTCGAGCTTCGCTGCTGTCCAGGCCTGTTTGCTGGTAGACCTTCTCCTCCAAAGCCTCGAGTTCACTCTCCTTGCCCTGCTTGGAAGCATCGAGGAAACAGCGTAGATATGAGACGTCATAAAGCCACTGGGTGAAGAGGTCCCGACGCTGCTGGGCGAGTTCGTCTGCTTTTGGTGACGGCGCAGGTTCGGCATCCTCCCTGGAAGCTTCCTCTTTCTTATCTTCATCTTTCTTTTCTTCCGAAAATTCCTCCTCCTTAGTCTCCTCGTTCTTAGTCCCCTCGGGAGTGTCTTCATTTTCTTGCTCCTTTGCCAGGTCTTCGGACGCAGGCTCAGTTTTGTCGCCATTTGTTTCGACATTCGCATCCTTCAAGTCGTTCGCCGCGATAGCCTTGAGCCACTTCTCACAAAGTTGCTTCCTGAGATGCTGCTTCATGACGCGGACGGCCACCGCACTCCAGAGATCCATACCCGCATCACTCATCTCCTTCGAAACATCCTTGAAGAACCGGAACAACGTAGGTGACGGCTGCGTCGGCAGCTCGGGGCTTCCCTCCCACAATGGCCGGCCTACCACGGTCGTTTGAGAAAGTCCTTGGTCGACAAAGGTTTCTATCGGCTTGGCGGCGACAGTGACTGACAGCTTCTCGTGAAGAGACGGCACCACAGTCAATCCGAAGCTCTTGACCGCGTCGAGTTTGGGCAGGCCTTGGCGCACGTCGCGGAGAATGCGGAGGAGGTACATGGCCACTCTTCCGCTATTTGACGCATCCTCCTTCGTTTTCCACAGGCTCGTGAGCTTCTCGTCGAGTTCCTTGAACGCTTTGGCGAGTGTGGAGTCGAGCTTCTCGTGCAGCATCCGCGGGTCGTCTTTGCTGAGAAGCTGCTGCCGCGCCTCGATCGTCTCCTCGTCCTCAATCTCGTCAATGTCGTTGTCCCAGCGCTGCCTCCGAAGCTGCTCCACCACTTCGCCGACCTCGTCGATGATACGCCGCCAAGATTGGAAGCCGTTGACGGCTTTCGAAGCCGAGTCGTTGCGGCCATACATTCTTGCTACTAATTCTAGCAAGAAGTGATCTGCCCCGTTAATCAAGTCGATATCGAAGCTCCGCACATTCCAGAGGTCCACGGTCTGATCCGTCACACCGTCTTGCCATGACTCCAAAGTAGCTGCAACCTCAGACCCGATGATATGTAGCTTGTTGACCTTGACCTCAAGAACGTGAAGCATGTGCCCGTTGATGGCACCGCGTAATTCATCTAGCATCTCAGAAGGATCAAAACCTCGCGCTTTGCCGCCTTCGCGGATCCATAGCTGCAGCACGCTAGTACGCAGCTCCGTGATGGCCTTGAACTCCATCATCCGCTCCATCGTCTTCTTGAGCCCGTCGACAAGCACCTCACTGCCCTTCTTCGCCCAGTTAAAGAGCATATCGCGTGCCTGCGGGCCATCCAGGTCGTCGTGGCGGATGAAGGGCGTGAAGAACTGGATCTCCTCTCCGCACCATCGCTCGTAGACATCCAGGCGCAGACCCTCAAGTCTTTTGAGTGATGGGTCCGCCAGCAGAGGACTCTTCTTGAGATCGGACAAGGCGTTTGACAGCTTGAAAGGCACTAGAGCCTGGACATCGAGCAGGGCCTTGGTGTAGAGGTTCAAACTCTTGAGAACGTCGCCTGCGCCTCGCTGCCGCTCATTGTCCTCGACCTCAAAGGCCATGGCCATGGCAGCTCCTCTGACGCGGAGGAAGTGATTGACCACATCGCGGGCACCGGAGCTGGTGGCCAGACTGTACGCACACAACGCCTTCAGGACATCCTCCTGCTTCACAGACTCTCCAGTCTTCTCCATCAACCCCTCGATATTCCGCAGAAGCCGTTTCCTCAAGCCGACCAGACTCTTTTTCGCAGCCTCAACGACATGATTGACGTCGCCGTCCAAAGGCTTCACCTCCCCCAAGCTTTTCACCAGAAGTCGGCTCAACACCAGAACCTTGCTCGCCAACACGGCCCTGTCCCCTCTGCTCAGCTCCAGGCTCCCAGCCCCAGACCCCTTGAGGACGCGTCCCACAACGAGCCCGCAAGCCTCGAGGAGTTTCGCCCTCGCAACGACGCCCACGTCCCCGCCGTATAGCTCCCTTATGCTCCCTTCAAAACTGCTTAGTCCAGCGACCTTTGACCCAACGACGCCGCGCCCGCAGCGCCCGCCCATACGGCCCAGCACGCCCTGCACGGCGTCGTTATCCTTGCGCATCTGGACAATGGTGTCGGCTGTCCCGAGGAGGTCGCGGTAGGAGCTGCCGACCTGCGTGCGCAGGCGGCTCGCCTTTTCGTCTATTTCGACATGGAGGGATTTGTGTATCGCGCGGATCTGGGGGAGGGTGTAGTTGGAGGAGAAGATCTGGGCGGAGGACGTGAGTGTTGAGAGATCGGGGGTCGCCATATTGGGCGTGGTAATTGGCAATTATCGACGTCGTAAGTGGGTTTTGTCAAGTCGGTTCGTATGCGGTCTTGCTTCCGGAGCCGTAGACTCCTTTGCGCAGGCGGTGCGCTTGCCTCGTGGTGGGTTTGTCGCACGTAGAGTTGCTGATGTTGGGAAGTTGAAGCTCTTCTGGCCAGGTGGAATTAGGTGGGGCCAGTTGTCTTGGAGCTCGGGGGTACCTCGTAAGCTGTGCATATCCCACCCACGGCAATCTCACTCGACTCGAGGTGAATCAGACACGCATTTGCTGCAATTGACACATGAAAACTTTTGATTATGCCTCCCAAGTCTTGGAAACTTCGTGTTAACTCCAATTCTACTTTCCGACCCAAAAAGCCTACAATTTCCTTGCCCTGACAATGCTCGTTGTGATACCGGACAGTTCTCCGCCATAACCGCCCTTTGGCTCGCCTCCCTTCCATTG